CACCACGTTCATTGATAACACAACACGAAGAATACATGTACCGTACTGACTCTCCTTATGGTTTGAACATGGTGTATGGTCTGGAATTGTGTTTTGCTCCCCTCCCCCCCCCCCCCCCCCCGCTTTCCCCCCCTTTCCCCCCCTTCCCCCCTTCCCCCCCTTCCCCCCTTCCCTGCCCCCAATTATCGTCAAAGTTGCTTCCACCTCTTCTTCAAAATGAATATTATTTCGGCCTACACATACACTGCTGGCAACTGAAATCTGACCCCTGAGCGATACGTTCACATTCTAGCGCTGTCTATTTCGTAGCTTTACAACCCCGTGTTGGGTCTTTGCGATGTGAGCGCACCGCTCAGGGGTCGGATTTCAGTTGCCATCACTGTGCATGTGTGTGTCAAGATGAGTGCTGTAGTACCTGGAAAAGGATGTCACGGAGGGAAGTTCCCGCCTGCGGATCAGCACACTTGATATCTCTCAACAAAAGGCTGGTCTTGCCACCCACTGTACTGACGCCAGCGCTTGTGACGTTGATCACCAAGGCAACCGGGACTGCGTTGCCACTTTGCGTTGTCAAGGTGACGTTGATACACTCCATGGGTGAGCGGGCCGAAGAGCAGTACGCTTGCAAGCACTGCAGCCAAGGAGAAGAACAGTGGATGGAGAGAGCAATGAAATGCATGTGGATCACCTCTACTGTTCTGCTACACACGGTATTGCGACAAATAGATGCATGAATGAGCTTAGAGACAGGTAGACAAGGGCACCCCCACACATACAAACATACACCCATGCACATGAGTGGGCATAACCCCCCCCCCCCCCCACACACACACACACATACACACATATACACCCGTGCACACGAGTGGGAACATCCATGCCCCTTACCCCCACCCCCACACACACACCCATACACCCATGGACACAAGTGGGCATATCTCTGCCCCCCCCCCCCCCACCCGCTCACACACGCACACCCATATACTTGAGAAGGATTGCACTTACACACATACACATACACATATACTTCAAATACACACATAGTGCAGGGAACCCTTGCACACATACTCACACATGTTCAGAGATTCCCCTTGCACAAGCCTGGCATATGAACCTCGTTTTGCCCTATACTCTACATGCACTACATGGAGAGTGCTGGCAACTGAAATCCAACCACTGAGCACTGAGCGCTCACATCGCACAGACCAACACAGGATTGTAAAACTAGACCGACAGAAAGTGAACACCGCTCAGGGGTTTGGATTTCAGTTTCCAGCACTGTACATGTACATGGAAGTCAGCTCTTACCTGCATGACATCAGGATCTAGACTGTCCACAAACTGGCCAGTCTGGCGGAAGTACGTGCGGAACCGCGCGCTCACCAAGACTTGGTACAGAATGGCAGGACTGATGGCGGATGCAGCCTCTGTCCAGGACAGCTCCAGTGCACCTGTCGCATTCCTCTGTGCACGCATGGTGTACAGCAAAGAGAGCGAATGATCAACAATCTGAAGTACTGTGTTTTCAGCAGGTGGTCGACCAAATATGCATGTTTCGAGTACGGCAAACATCACGTGACCCCTGTACGACAAATGTCCGGAGCTGCACTGAGTCATGTTCCATCTTGCAGCTTTGCCGAGTGGAAGGTTCCTGTGTGCTTCCTGTGTGCTCTGGACTGCCGTCATAAGCACATTAGGTGTCAGGTTCATTCTTCTTACTCTTGCACTCTAAGTCTCATTCCTGAACACGTGACATTTCTGTGAGTAGGAGATCCTCTGGACAGGCCGTGAGCCTCTGGGTAACCCTTGGAATACAATAGCCACGATACAATACCACACACACAGCCATTTCGGCAGGAAACATGAGCTGTGTATTGAACTTCTTCAATTATGGCCACAGAAGCCACCACTTCCAAGAGTGAAACAAGAAAGGTTTTTCTTGTTCCTATCTCTGAAGAAAGTCACGACAGCCATTATCACCCAAAACAGGCATACAGAAAGTGAACTATCGCGTCCGTTCCCATAGGAACTCACGACGGCCGCTAGTACCCGGTAAATCCAGGCATACAGGCATACAGGATGGTTTTTAATTGTCCATTGCATGTTCCGCCCAATGATAAGGTGAAAGATTTGCAACATTGTGTGTACTGTGGAAAACAGTCTGTATTGTGTGTACTCACAGATCTGCTGACACTCAGTCCTTGTAAGGCATCGGTCGTAACTGAAACCGAGCAAGTCCCGCAGCACACGGACGCACGCACACACACGCGCACAGGGATGCACATGCACACGCACAAACACACGCACACACACACACACACACACACACACACATACACACAAGCACACACACACATACATACATACACGGATGCACATGCACACACGGGCATTCCAACACAAGGTGCAGTAGCAGTTCAATCAACCTTGTGTTCACTGTCCTGCTAACTTAACCGTGGTTTAGTCATGGAGAGCCTGATCATATATACGAACATTGGCTCTTGCCATTGTACAGTACTGCGCAGTGAAACTGGATGGTGTGAGCGTGAGCTATGCCCTGCACCTGCAGAATGTCCTAGTGTTTGCACGCCTAGGACTGCACAGAGCATTGCCGGGTATTGACTCGCTTTATTGGATTTCATTGAGCAGCGCTATACATCGGGGAGAGAGACGAAAGGGAAGTTGTGAATTTCAAATCGATATTTATTTTTATCTGAATTGTGTTGCTTACGACTTTGTGAAACATTAGCAGCAACTGCCCACGGATTGTTACTGAGCTTGGTGTCATCACTCGGGTCGCCATGGTAAGCTTGTACCTGCGGCAACAACAAACAAAACAGACAAATGAGGTCATGATGTGTCTAGCAAGGTGGTGATACGCAAACACGGAGAAAAAGAGCTGTTGAGTTTTAACGTTTTAAGCAATTGAGCGATCATTTCAAAATGGCATTTACTACTGGAGTTTTGGGAGTGGGCCAAGGTATATGGTGCAGGTGTGACAGTTGAGCCGTATGTGTGAAGATTACTTGTGAGAGATGCTCTAGATTACATCCAGTTGAAGTAGTAACTGTTCACCTTTCTGCCTGTTTGAAATTGACAAGCCAAGTTTATTTATTTATTCAGGGTGTGACTTTGCCGATTCCAAAGTTGGTATGACCGCGGTAACACTGGAGGACTGAGCTAGCTCGGAATGTGCTAGGCGACTTGTCTAGAGTCAGTGATATCCATTTCAAATACTTTCTAACACTGCCATTTAACCTAGAATAAATCTTCAACCCAATGGGAAGCTTTCTAGTAGCATTGGGAGGAGGAGGGCTGGAGCATGCTTTCAAAACAATACTTTTTTGCACGCTCAGCTGTTGCCAAAGTTACAGACATGTAGATGACTGACAGGAGAAGCACATTAGCCCTACATGTACGTGATGGCTATGTCACATTTGGAAAATTACCACATTAATCCAGGTACACAGTAGCAATGACAAAACAGCACATTGTATGGATCAAGCTACAGAACAGTCAATTTGGGTTTGTCGACTGTCAAATTTTCAAAATCGAACGTGGCTATTGAGCCAGTATTATTTATGTAAAGAATAGAAGAAGAAACACATGGAAACGAGTTATAGTGGATAGTTGCTTCATAACTCGTTCCCATGTGTTTCTTCTTCTATTTTTACGACACATTTCCACCTTGTCATTTCCCACTACCGTACTCCCAATGAGTCCAGCCAATGGCTGCCCGCTTCATGAATAACAAGCGCCACCCTCTACTCACAGAGAGCACCTGGGCCTGCTTCTACTCACCGAGAAGACATAGGTGGACCGCAGCGACGACATGTTGCGCTTCACGGTGAAGTTGAGACCTCGCGTCAGTGCACTGTGCTGCTTGCCGAACAGTCCTGGCACGGTCAAACCTAGCTGTTTGACATGGATGTGCAAGCCCTCGGGACAGCACACCCCTGACACGTCATCATTATTACACCCAGCCGGGGTGATCAGATTGGAGATGTGCTCGCCGGTCTCAAACGCGAAACCCGACGAGAGAGAAAAGCTGCCGTTCAGCTGCTGGCTAGCCGTTGCCATGAGCTGACCAATTTGTGTCGAAGAGTCCAAGTAGTTGTACGCCGAGCACAGGCATAGCTGTCCGCATGCAGCCAGCGTCAGATCACTGGCCGGAGCGAAAGTCTCGATCTGTGCCCAGAACACGCGATATGTGAAGGGCGTGCCGATTGCTTGGCATGCGATCGTCGGCTCTGTCCAGCTGATAGTGATGGTGTCGGTGTTGGCCGATTGCACACGCACATTGCCAGGGCTGGGAAGATCTAGATGGGAAGGATACGAACAAGGCACAAACACAACCTCCAATATCCATGAAGACATCTACATTGGCTAGAGTGCATGACCGAAGAAGAAGAAGAAGAAGAAGAAGAAGAAGAAGAAGAAGAAGAAGAAGAAGAAGAAGAAGAAGAAGAAGAAGAAGAAGAAGAAGAAGAATAACATCAAAGGACAGGCTGCGTGATTACCCTCCCCCCCAGCAGTAGCAGCAACAGCAGCAGCAACGGCAGAACTATAACATTTTATCATACAAAGGAAGCACAAGCGGACTATGGCACTGCGCTGAGGGCTTCCATCTTTCCTCGGATCTCACGCTAGATCACTGGACAGGATGCCCTCATGCTGTAAGCACCGCCGATAACAGGCTGTCCAAATGTCCAGCTTTGAGCAGGACAGTCTTGCTTTGGACCAAGACATGTGTATACATTTACATGGGACACGATGGCCTGTATACTAGTATACATTGCATTTAGATGTCCTGCTTTGGAATGGTGGCAAGGTTGGACAGGCTGCCATAATACACAGTATGTCGGAAACTCACTAGCTAGAGTCTTGGGTCGACCGAGTATCACGTGTGACGAGTTGCCGCTGTTCAAGCCCGGAGAGGACGGCGAGGTGTGGTTGTAGATGGCGTCGATCTCAAACGCGTACTCGGAGCAGACGCGCAG